TGGTAAGACTAGCAAGTTGTGTTCAGCAAGGCTGTCAAACCGGCTCTAGTCATTCCCATCCCCATCTGGAGGGGGTCTCTTGGAAAGGCCAAGGTAAAAAAAGGGGCTACTGGTCCTCCTCCAAGCTTTCAGATTGAGGTCTCTACTAGCGCTGGCCCATCTCATTGTTTGTTCCCCTTTACTGGGCTGGCCAAAGTGACTAAATTGTGCTCAGTAGGAATTCATTGAGCTACAGAACCCCCTTATCCGCGGGATCGGTATCCGCTGATATGCTTATCGACTGTTGGGAAATATTTTTAAAAATTAAAAGAAAAATCCTAGAAAGACGTATTTCTAAAGGTGAATTTGGTAGCGCAGGCCACTAGAGGGAGACAGAGACCATGCTATATAGAGCATTTGGCAACTGACATAGTGTTCACTCTAATCCACATTTTTCAGCATCCACAGAAGGAAGCTTGGAATGAATCCCCTGCTGCGTATGTGCCCAGAAGTGGTACCAGGCTTTGTGTTGCACACCTTAATGCCCATCTCTTAATGTCATCATCACCGGCATTCCCCCCTGTGACAATTTGGGAATTTCTTCCAAAATAGTTCTTTCTCCTACCTCTACTGTTTGTTATAAGTTCGCGGCCCTGACTTTTTCCTCCAGTGTGTGTGTGGGGGGGGTCTTCTCTTTCTCCTTGATCTCCACAACCACCCAATTAGGCAAGCGGATTGTGTGTGAGGTCCAAAACCATCCGGTACCTTCCATGGCCCAGGGGCGACTGAATCTGTCAGATTCCAAGGAACGGATGCAAAACCGAGAGGTTGGGAGTTCGAATCCCCCACCCCACTGGGCCTCTTTGACAGGGGCTGGACTGGATGACCCAAGGGGTCCCTTCCGGCTCTGCCGTTCTAAGGTGGTTATTATCCAAAAATTAAAAACCACCAGGCACAGTCAATTAAAATGATAAAAACATTGCCTGGCATTATAGAACAGGTACGAGTTTTAATCCAAAAACTTGTCTCTGTTGAATATCGGCACAGTATATAGATGCTGCTCCTAATATTGCCTTTTTTTTAAAGCTCTGATGGTGTGGTTTCAGAGATCACCAACGGCTTATAACACTGTGTAAAATTTCTTGATATTGTTCCTGAAGCCCCAAGGACGACGCGGACCAGTGAAGTGTGTTTCATCCATAAATGAGATGTTTCGATGGCCAGATCTCTACTACTGTTATTATTGTATTGTTGCTGTTAGTTATGATCATCTGCCCACCCTTTCCTGCCTTCTTTCAGAATACTCCTCGTTTTCCTTTCTCCGGACAAAATGCAGATCCCCGTCGGCCAGTTATTCAGCTAAAATTCCAGAAGGTTCACGGATTACGGTCAATGTGGTTGTGAAGTCACCCATCCCTTCCTGCTCCCATTGTTCCTGTCCTTTGCTCGGAGACTCTTCTTCTGGAGCCTTCGGGGAGGCCCCCCTGGGGACCATGTGACTTGCTTTAAAAAAGACCAAATTTGGGAAAAGAGGAAGCTAGCTTTTCCTCCGGCCGGCACCGGTCATTCTTAACCCTAGATGGTCTGCCTGCCGGCTGGTTTCAAGGAATAAGAAGGTGGGGCTGCCTCTGGGCCACTCCACCGATTGAGCCGATTTGTCCCTTTTCAGCAAATTGGGGAGGTGGTGGTTTGGTTTACCTCCCGGCTAGAAGCCCTTCAGAGTACAGAACAAGTTTTAAAAAAACAACACACACACATATCACCCTAGCTATCCAGCTTTGGAGGGTTTTCTGCACGTCACTGCATTCCTTTGGAAGATGTCAGCGGTAAACTATGCACATTCCCTCTGACACAATAAAATCTTTTGTATCCCTCCTTCCACCGTGTCATCTCCCCCCCCTTTCTAATCCCCTCCCTCTGTAAGCTCCCTCCTTTTAACATTGTGGTGGGCGAGAGGACAATATTTCCCCCCCACACACAAAATATGTGTATTTTGACAAGCCTCTGTACTTTTTCGGTCACCTAGCAAGATTGGAATCCGTGTTGTGCCAACTCAGCTGCGGGTGGCTGCGGATATATGTGGACGTCTTGGCTTTACAGTGGCGCCTCGCTAGGCAGTTACCCTGCATGACCGTTTTTTTCGCTAGACATTGGCTTTTTGCCATCGCTATAGCGATTCGCAAAACAGTGATTCCTATGGGGGAATTTCGATGGAAAATGTTTGGTCCCTGCTTCGCAAACCGATTTTCGCTAGACGACGATTCTGACAGCTCCCTCCCCACTTGCAAAACAGGTGTTTTCGGGACCTAAGCTTCGCAAGACAGCGATTTAAACAGCTGATCGGCGGTTCGCAAAGCGGCTTTCCTATGGCCGATCTTCACTAGACAACAACGATTTTTTCCCCATTGGAACGCATTAAACAGGTGTCAATGCATTCCAAATGCTTTTCGCTAGACGATGATTTCGCTAAACAGTGATTTCAGTGGAAGGGATTATTATCGTCTAGCGAGGCACCACTGTATTTTTCTGTCCCACTTTTCCACACGGTAAAGACTGCAGGACAGCTGCTTGACTCTGGAGCTGTGACGGGCCTACACGCTTTCTGACACAGCTTATGACCATTAAGAGTTGGAAATCTGCAGTTTTAGAAAAGAAAAAGCCAGCTGGGACTCTGAACAAGTGGAAATGCTTGCCCCATGCATGGATTTTTGCACACAAGATGAGAAACACTTTTAAGGTCAGGGTGTTTCGAAGGTATTCAGGTATGCGTGCTTGGTGCCACAACCGGACATCGTGTTCCGGCCGAAGCCTATCTGGTATGGACTAAAACAGAATGATGTGTTGGACATGGGCTGTAATGAATGTGTGTGGAGAACGATCGCTTTTGGAGGACATGGAAGAATTTTTCTCCAGCTCGAACGGCCGTTTTCTGAGCAAGCAAGCAAGCAAGCTGAAGGAGTCTTAAGGCTGGCGGTGGGACAGTTTTGCACAGACAAATAACAGGAACTCGGGAGGGAGTTCAAGTCGAAAGGTTACGGCGACGTACTTTAAGGGACAATAAGCTCTCCTGAGAAACAAGGCGGAAAGTAGATAGCCGGAAGCTGAGGGGCTTCCACAGATAAGACCCCGTTTCAGTCCTAGTTTCGAAGGAAAGGCAAAAGGGGATTCCAAATGCACAGGAGAGATCGAGTCCGGCGTCTCCAAACCAGCTCACCGCCTCTAATCTTGCCAATCCAGAGTTCAGATGTGAATCGTGCCGGACAGCCTTGGAAAAAGCACCAAGCGAAGCAGCGAAGTGGTTCTTCATCTGCCTCACAGGTATACTGCTCCTGACCTCGCAGGTTCTGTTGACTTACCATGTTTCTAGCAGGAGCAGTGAATTCTGTATCTCAATCATCTATCTTGCAAAGAAAGTCTGTCCTTCGTTCTTCTTTCCCCTTCGCCCAAAGGTCTCACGGATGGGAAAGCCGTAGCTATCCTAATGTCGGGGGACTGAAACTCCCATTATGTCTAATCCCTGACCCAGCTGGCTGTGGATAATGGGATTTGGAATCCAGAAACATTTAGAAGGTGGAAGTAGTGTAAGAAATGAAGCATTTTCTCTCCCTGTCTTGTTTGCAATTTTATAAACTTTTATCTAGTCCCTATCTTAGTACAGTTGTGCCCCGCATAGCAACGATAATCCGTTCTGAAAATATTGTCGCTATCCGGATTCGTCGCTAGCAGGATTAAAACCTCATAGGGACGCATTAAAACATGTTTAATGCGTTCCTATGGGAAAAAAATCCCCGCTAGGGGGAAAATCCTCCATCCGGCCGCCATTTTCGCTGCCCGGTAAGCGAGGGCAGGGCACGAAAATGCTGCGGGCGGCCATTTTCTTCACCCGGTGGCCATTTTGGAATCGCTGATCAGCTGTTTGTAAAACATCGCAATGCGAAGATCGGAAAGCGTTTGCAATGCGATTTTTAGGCATTGAGAACGTCGTTATGCAATCGAAAAAACGAGCACAAAAAACGCATCACTATGCGGATTTGCCGTTAAACGGTGCGCTCGCTATGCGGGGCACCACTGTACTTTCTTTTCTAAAACAGAGGATGTTCCCAGATGCTTAATCCAGCCACTTCAAAGCTGGCACATCCCGGCAGGTGTGCTGAATTGCCGCTTCTATCAGCGTGGCCATCCAGGGAGTTAAGAGCTGAACACCCATGGAGGGCATCAAGTTGAGGAAGGTGCCCTTGCCAAGTTCAAAAAAACGGTACCCCAAAATTGTGGGCTGTCCCCTCATTTACACTCCAGTTCACACAACATCAAGTTTAGTACAACGTCTTTCATTTTCATCAAAGACTCGGTATACGAAACAAAACCCTTTACCCCCTACCCAATTAACAGGAGGCTTAAAAAATAAACCACATAGCCAATCCTTTTAACCCATTTTCTCCCAGCCTAAGATGCTCTTCATCCACCCTTTTGTAGAAAACTTCCCCGAATCACTTAAGAATCCCACACTCCATCCAGAATGCAGTTCCCTTGTGTCGTTCTGGTGGGCTCCCATCACAAGACAACTCGACAGTTGTGGAGAGACCCCACTGCGTCACGGACGACAACGTGACCAGGCTGGTTTTTGGGGAGGCAGAAGACTCCTCACAGCAAAGTCGCCTGCTCGAATCGCTCATTCCCCCGGCTGTGACCGGAGGCCAGCTTCTGGCGGCGTTGCTGGGTGGCCTCTCGACGCCGGCGGTACGCCAAAAATTCTTCGCGGAGGGCCGCACAGCGTTCCTCAGGACAGGACAGAGGAGAGATGGACCCCTCTAAGGCACCCACAGATCGGGAATTTGAGGGCGAGCCACTGGTTTCACTGGAGGTCTTTGAACCTGCAAAGGGAAAGGAGAAATGGGTAAGGGTTACTGAAGTGTTTTAGCATTCTCCAATGAATGGAGAGAAGCAGTGTGGTATAGTAGTTAGAGTGTTGGAGAGGACTTGGAGGAACCAGGATCTTGTCTCCCTAGCTAGATATACAATTCAACATCACAAGATTGCTGTAGATATGAAGTGAGGGGGAAGAAAGTCAGAATACAGTGGTGCCTCGCTAGACAATGATAATCCGTTACACTGAAATCGCTGTCTAGCAAATTAATTGTCTACCGATAAGCAAATCGTCGTCTAGCGAAAATTGGTTTGCAAAGCAGGGAAATTCCCCCATAGGAATACTGTTTTGCAAATCGCTATAGCGATCGCAAAAAGTCAATGTCTAGCGAAAAAACTGTCATGCGGGGGTAACTGTCTAGTGAAGCGCCACTGTATAAATATAAGAAATCTCTCTCTCTCTGTGCATGCGCGTGTGTGCATGCATGCAGGCGGAGAGATATTCCAAATTAACAATGAGCTGGAAAAAAAATCTTGAACAAGCCCATTACTGAATTTGAAATAAAGGAACTTCTCAGAACTCTAAAAGCAGGTGACTCCCCAGATGCAGAGAGGCTACTGGGTATATTTTACCAGACCTTTAGTGAGGTTCTGGATCCCCTGTACAACACAACCCTAAGACGACGAAATACGTTGGATTCTCGGTCAACAGCGAGAACCATCGTGATTCTTAAGGCAGGGAGTGGAGACGCTTACATTATCTTTGGGGCGCACATCATCCCACATCCCTTCTCGACTGAGGTTTTAAAAGACTCTCTTCCCTATTTAGATGGTGTCTTATCTCCTTTATCACTAACTTTTTTTTTCAACATGACCAGGCTGGCTTTACACCAAATAAGCCAAATCATTGATTACCTCCAGAAGAATCCTAAATAAAGTTCATTAGCGAAACACAACCCAAGAGCTGTTTTTCCCCTCCACTCTCTCGAGATGTGGCTGAAAGCTTTTGATGGCTCCAGCCGGTGACGAGATTCCAGCTGGTAAACAACCCCTCCGCCTTAAAATTAGGGTGCGGGGGACCCCAATATAGAGCGCAATCCCATCAGCCAGACGTTTGCCTCCTCCCACATGCTACAAAGGCTTACTCTGTTTCTCCAGCTCCTGCACGGCGATGGTGGAAACAGGCCTTTTGGGGTTCTCAATGCGGTACAGATGCAGGGCGTCCAGTAGTTCGGACTCCAGGGTGAACTCCGAGTCCCATTCATAGTTCTCATCCACAGACGTGTTCCTTCTGGAAGCAAGGGAGGGGCATAAATCCGCACAGGGTGAGAAAACGGAGATGTGAACAGGGCTGAGTTTAGAACAAGCCCCCCTCTTATGGGTTCTCTGAATCACCTTCTATTTCCATGGCTCTTTTGAGTAGCAAAACCACCCCCACCCCACTGTAACTCGTTTGCTGGAACGGATGGGCTTCTAGACTTCTGCAAGTGTGTTTGGGTCGCGAGGAAGGGATGAACAGAGCATGGATGTACAAAACTGGCACGGTTATAATAGAGCATTATAACAGGTACGCTTTGTCGTGGTGGCCATGTGCCGCCCAGTTGCGTCCAATTCACGGGGACCCTGTGCAGGAACAGTCCCCCCCAAATGTCCTCAATGGCCCTCTTGAGCTGAGCAAGTTGATCCATCTCATAAAGGAACAGTCCCCCCGAAATGTCTGGTCCTCAATGGCCCTCCTGAGCTGAGCAAGTTGATCCATCTCATAAATGGTTTTCCTCTTCTCCTGTTGGCTTTCCACCCTTTGGCGTTGGCTTAAGCCACAGCAAAAGAGTGGCTCTGTTCATTTGACCGGGCTAGGCTCCTCTTTTAGGCACCACAGGAGGTCTGGTTATAACCAGGTCGGACCATTCGCTCATTGAACTGATCTAGGAGTTTGATTCCCCGGTGTGTCTCCTTAACACGTTTGACTTGATGATACATAGGGCTCCATACAGCTCTGCATTTCTATGATTACAGTGGTGCCTCGCTTTATGATTGCCCCGCATTACGACAAATCCGCTTTACGACGATATTTTTTGCGATCGCAATTGGTCGAAATGGGGGAACTTTGCTTTGCCATGATCGGTTCCCTGCTTCGGGAACCAATTCTTCGCAAAACGCTCTTTTTCGAACAGCTGATCGGCGGTTTCAAAATGGCCGCCGGGTAATTAAAATGGCTCCCTGCTGTGTTTAGGGACAGATTCCTCGCTATACAGGCAGCGAAAATGGCTGCCGTATGGAGGATCGCTGGACGGTGAGTTTTTCCCCCACTGGAACGCATTGAACGGGTTTCAATGCGTTTCAATGGGGTTTTTTATTTCGCTTTACGATGTTTTCGCTTAACGGCAATTTTCCTGGAACAGATTAGCGTCGTTAAGCGAGGCACCACTGTATTAGGATGTCAAAAGGCACAGAACTCAGCCTCTGTTTCGCAGCTAAAAATGAGTTAAATACCAAACATGGATCACACAAAGTTCCCTTAAATTCATTGTATGTGTTTTTTTAGGGAAAAAAATATTTTCATAATTTACATCTCACCCACCCACCTGCATGTCTCCAATCTCTTGAAAATGTCTTTGTTTATCAATCTGCCTTTCATCAACCGCGACCTCCGCATTTCTAAGTCCACATTTCTAAGTTCCAGGCAAGTTCACAATCGGAAGAACTAGAAACCTGCTTTTTTATTTTTTTTGGTCTCTTCTCTGCAGGGCCTTCTGGAACCTAGAACTGTTTATTCGGAGTTCCTGAACCCAAGAAAACTTTCCCAAGAAAATGTGTGCTTTCTTTTCGCTCGACCCGCCACCCACCGCCTCACCTTTTACTGACCGCAGGAACCAGAGCGTTCGAGGGTTGCTCGACCTCCTCCTCCTCCACGCAGTTGCTTTGCCAGCCCACCACTTCCCCAAAGGGGGAACTGAGGTAGCTGCCCACCAAGGACGGCGCCACCGAAGGGGGTCTCAGAAAGGACACGCTGCCTCGGCCGCTGCTTTGGCTGGCCAGGCTGCCCCTCAAGAACTTCTCGGCGGCCACAGAAGCCGGGAATTTGTGTCTCTCGGGAGGGAGAGACTCAACCGGGGGTAGATCGGACACCCGCAGCCAGTCGGGTTCCACGGGGACGGCCACGTGCGCCGTCTCAGTCTGGCTACGGCCTGGGAGGGGCGCCCGCAACCGAGGGTCCCGCTCCTTGCACCCTTCCGAAACAGAGCCCAGGGAATTTGAGCAAACCGAAGTCCCGGGCAAGGCGGCTTTCGCCGGGCCGGTGTTGGGTTGAGGGAGACTCAGAAGAGATTTGGCCAGGGTTGGTTCAGAGTCTGAGTAGATTTGGACATCCATATAGTCCGGACAAAGGATTCTGTCCTCATTGCCTAAGACAGTTCGCTTGAGGCTGGCTGAATCTTCAAGGAAAGCAGGGGTGAACGTTTCCTTCCCTTCCTCCTCCTCCTCCTCCTCTTCGTCTCCATCCACGTTCATCTCTTTGAAGAATGGGAGGCTCAGGTACTGGAGAATCCCACTTTGGTCCGAGGTATTGGCTTGGAGTTGGCTACTCGGAGGCCGACCGTAGGTGGGTAAGGAAGGACTCTTTGACCGGCCAGGAGAGGAGGAAGCGGCCGCAACGTCCGCGGGCCCTTTGGAGGCCTGGCTAGCCCATGCCGGCTGCTTCGTGGCCCCATAGGGCATTGTCGTCACTGGGCTGATATTCGCGATGCACAAGGGCTTCGCTTCCTCTGTCGGGCTGCTGCTGTTGCGGTCAAAGTAGTGGCCCTGGCAGTAGCCGGAGGCCTTGGCTTTACGGCGGGCCACGCTTGCGTTCTTGGGCCTCAGTCGGATGCTTTTCTGCCACACCAGCTCCTCCGGTCTTGCGGGAGAGTACAGCTGCAGGTAAGGCTCCGGTTGGCTGTCCGAGGAAGCCGGAGAGAGGGAATATCGCTCTGTCGCGGCTGCCGAGCGTTCGTGAGGCGGCCCTTCCTCCTTCTGGACCACAAAGCGCCCGTCGGGGCCACGGCGGATGTGCTCCAAGGGGAGGGGTTCCCCGACGTGGCTTTCGTAGAGGACGAATTTGGACCCATTCCCCAAGTCGCTGCCAAAGATGTCGAGGCCCGGATCAGCGCCGGCCTTCTCTCCCCACAGCAAGCTGCGGCGAAGGCTCTGGTAGGGGGACGTTTGGAATTTCACTTTTACAATGCTGTCTGGGCTAGCAGAGCCTGTAGAATTTCTGTGAGAAGAGAAAAAATCAAGTGAAATACACTTTTTTTGGGGGGGTGTCGGTCAGCGGACAGAAGACTCATTTTTTGAGTCATGCTTGCTCTGTTTCAAGTATGTCCTTGTATGCAAAAAAAACAAAAAACAAACCCACAACTAATGGGATAGGGAAGAGGGACTAGAATCCTTTTTCTTAACAACCTCAAATACTAGGGTTGGGATGTACAGTGGTGCCCCGCTACACGTTTACCTCGCAGAATGACGAAACCGCAGGACAGTGACAAAATGATGTTTCCAATGGGATCTTTTTCGCTGGACGTGGAATAGGTCTGTGCTTCACAAACCGTTTGTTCGCAATACGATTTTTACGATATCGCAAAATGGCACCCCGCTGTTTTCCGACCCATGTTTCGGAAGACAGCCATTAAAAACAGCTGATCAGCGCTCAGAAAATGGCTTCCCTACGGAGGATCTTCGCTGAACAATGAGGTAATTTCCTATTGGAACGCATTAACCGGTTTTCAATGCATTTCAATGGGGATTTTTTTTTTCATGTGACGATGATTTCACTGCACAGCGATTTCAATGGAACGAATTATCATCGTCATGCGGGGCACCACTGTATGTTTTTTTTTATCTTTTCAATTTTTTCCCCTGGCTCACTTCCAGAAGATTCCAAAAAGCCAAGCCAGATGTGGTATGGGTAGGCAGAACATTCAGATGGCCCTTCACCAATTTGACCAGGTGACCTTTGACCCTTCCTGACACTAGATGAATAGACTTTAAGAAGGACACTTGAGAAATCACCAGTAATAAATAGTATGCTGGGGTGGCTGAGTTCTACTATGGCAATGAACAGGAGCAAATGCTAGTTCTCAAGACCCCCATATAAGCCAAGGCGGGGGGCACAGGGTGATGCTGATGGGATACTGGGTGCAATATTCAGCTCCCTGAGAACTGAAGTTTTAAAGTTTCTAGATCTTAATGTTTGGAAAAATTTTGTACGATGGGTGGCAAAACCTAGGGGGGAACCTCTGAAGCCAAATCAGCGGGTAGTCATCTTGTAATTAAGATATTGCTCTCTCTCTCTCTCTCTGCGCATGTGTGCATGCGCGCCATCTAATCCAGCATCCTGTTCTCCAACAGATGGTATTCAGTTGCTTTAATACACTCTGAATAGTGTAAAGACTCACTCATTCCCACCAGCCATACTGATAGGGAGAATCCACAAATCCAGGCAGCTGCATTGATCCACATGGACGGACCAGCTGTAGCTGTTTTCATCTTAAGTAAGAGCAGGTCTTTTACGAAGCTAATGGCCTTAAGTGCCCCTTCAGGACCAGGCCCTCTCTCAAAACATCTTGGCCAAAATCTTTGTTTGTTTTCAGGCAGCTGGAAGGCAGAAAGTGTTTAGCATTCACTGGCTTCCAGGCGGCAATTAAAAAGTCCCTGCTGGGATGCTCAAGTTCCCATTGGGAATTGAAGTGGTGACTCTTCAATTGCTGGCTGGAGGCATGTGAAAGTTAACCCCGTCTGTCTTCCACCTCAGGATTCCGGCCTTTGCATTGCAACCGAGATGGGTCACAACAACGACCGGATGTTAGGAAAAAGTCCTTTTTTCTCTCACCTTCCCCTGGCCATCCTGAGGCCTTTATTGAGGCCGGGAGAGAACTGCATTTCTGTGACTCTTGAGGAGAGTTGAAAAAAAGAAAGTTGGGTCATATCTTGATTAGGTCATCAAAATATCCTTAAAAGGTTGAGTTTTGGAGCCCTGCTAGAGACTCTTGATTCAGCTAAGCATGAAAGAATTTGGAAGAAGAGAAAACGAAGGGGGTCCCGGTGGGAAGAGATGGCTCTAGAGCCTCACCGGCGTCTAGGGGAGCAGCAGAAGGCCCCACAACCCTGCCAAATGGCCTGTTGAGGGTAGGATTTGAGGTACCCATCCGACAGCAGGACTAGTAGAAGCCACATCGGACCCTCCAGATGTTTGGGCCGCGACAGTCCATCTTCTCGGCTGCATGGCGGCCAACGGTGGCTGCAGTCCCAGATACGTTTGGAGGTCTCCGAGGGAAAAATAAGCACAAAAGATCGGTACAGCAGTTTGTTTACTGCCGCGACAAGTGTTGAATCTGACCCAACTCTGGGAGGCCGTGGAAGACAGGAGGGCCTGGCGTGCTCTGGTCCGTGGGGTCACGAAGAGTCGGGCACGACTTAACAACTAAACAATAACAACACCTTTTACTTTTAGAGAACAGATATAACGCCTGAGCTATATCGCTCAGCTGCACTAGAAATCCTGGAGTTACTATTATGTGATTCCTGAACGCATTGGGATAGCTAAATTGGGGGACTGAGTGCTGGATTAGAGAGAGAGAACGTTGACATGGCTCACTTTTAGGGCTTTTCTTCGTCGGCACAATTAAGAATGGGACCTCTATGTTCTGAAAAAGTTTACCTCTAAATGCCAGTTAGTGGGTAACCGAAATGTGAGGGTGCTATTACTGCTCCCCATCGCAGAATCGTGGAGTTGGAAGGGGCCTATAAGGCCATAAAGTCCAAGCCGCTGCTCATGGCGGGAATCCAAATCAAAGCAGATCTGAATTTTCTTGAAGGCCTCCAGCGTTGGAGCGCTCACCACCTCCCGAGGTCATTGTCGTACTGCTCTAACAGTTAAGAAGTTTTTCCTGATACAGTGGTGTCCCGCATAGCAAGCACCCTGTTTAATGACAAATCCGCATAGCAATGCAGATTTTGCAATCGCAAAAGCGATCGCATTGCGATGTTTTAGATGGGTGAAAACCGCATTGTGATTATTGGTAAGCGTTTTGCTTACCGATCTTTGCATTGTGATGTTTTAAAAATGGTTGATCGGCGGTTCCAAAATGGCCACCGGGTAAACAAAATGGCCACGCGCAGCATTTACGCACGATTTCCTCACTTACCGGGTGGCGAAAATGGCAGCCGGATGGAGGATTTCCGCACAGCAGTGAGTTTTTCCCCCATAGGGACGCATTAAAGGTGTTTTAATGCGTTCCTATGGGTTTTTTTGCCCCGCATAGCGAGGAATCCGATAGCGCCGGGTTTTTTTTTTTGAATGGATTAACGTCGCTATGCGGGGCACCACTGTATGTGCTTCCTGAACGCATTGGGCTAGCTAAGTTGGGGGACTGAGTGCTGGAGTAGAGAGAGAAAACATTGACATGGCTCAGTTTTAGGGCTCTTCTTAGTTGGCACAATAAGAATGGGACCTCTGTGTTCTGAAAAAGTTTACCTCTAAATGCCATCCTACATGCCCTCCGGATGTTTGTCCCTACAATGCCCATTAGACCCAGCCAGGTGATCGGAACGGTGCTCCCCAAACTTGGAAAGGTGGCAGCATTGCTATTACTGCTCCCCATCGCAGAATCGTGGAGTTGGAAGGGGCCTATAAGGCCATAAAATCCAAGCTGCTGCTCACGGCGGGAATGCAAATCAAAGCAGATCTGAATTTTCTTGAAGGCCTCCAGCGTCGGAGCGCTCACCACCTCCCGGGGTCATTGTCATACTGCTCTAACAGTTAAGAAGTTTTTCCTGGTATCTGTCCTAAATGCCCTCCGGATGTTTGTCCCTACAACGCCCATTAGACCCAGCCAGATGTTCGGAACGATGCTCCCCAAACTTGGAAAGGTGGCAGCATTGTGGGAAGGCTGCAACAGACACCTTGTGCCCCCCCTCCCCTGCAGCCTGTTTAAAAACAAAAACAAAATACTGTACCTGGATGGATAGAACAGGGAGAGAAGCAAAAAGGGAAGGGCAGGGTGTTGTCATGAGCGGAGAGGGAGGGAAGAAGAGCGATGACATGCAATGGTGCGACTTACTGTGACGGCAGAAGCTTCTTGTTGGGGGAGAACACAATTGGTGGATCTGGAAGTTCATGAGAACACAAAGGGGAAATCACATGGAGAGCAACTGAAAAAAGCGATGAAAGGGGGGGCAGGCAGCGGGTACGTTGTGGCCCCCCAGACAGACAGACACACATGCTCATAACCCCCATGCCAGTTTCAGTCTCTCCCTTTTCCCCATTCTTTCCCCTACGGGAATATTGCCTCCTGCAATTTCTTGCACGCAACGTCAGCCATGCCGTTTCGCGTGCAAAAAGCAGAGCCGCGTGTTAATTGGAGATCACTCGAACAGCTCCCCCCAAAAAAAACCCAGGCCTCTTTGAGAATTTCAGCTTTTCTTAAAAGAAAGCAGAGCGCTGTTCGTCCTCAAACGTACAAAAACATCACTGAAGATTTGTGACTTTATCCTGGGAGAAGTTTCAATCGTTCGTTGCCAAGGAAAAAAAAAGGCTTCCTGAAGCTTGAATACATTTTCTGGCGCCCTCCCCTCAAACAAACAAATACACAAACAAACAAACAAATAAAAGCGGGCGTCTGCACAGAATAGGCTAGGAAAGACAAATTTGCTGAACTAATACGGAATGAAGAATTCTCTGGAAAAATTTGAGAAAAACAGAGCTTAGGATGCAGAATTTTTTTACTTCCCTTCCCTTATTCATAGCACTGGAGAGAAAACTCCGTCATGCGGCCAAAAGACTAACATCACTCGTCGGTCCGGAGCCCCTGCGTGTTTAAGGGGGCCTGTTGAGCCCCCGAATCGAGCTCAGCTCTGTCTGCTACTTTTCCAGCTCCCGGGTTAACCCAGGAGAGGTTCAGGAGGAAATAAGTGGATCGATGCACTAGCCACAGAAAAACGTTCTTCTGTCTCACTGGACGACCCTGATCTTTCCTAAGGACTCCAATCCCTGACATTCTTCACCATCTGTCGGGCGCTGATGGAGGCCGGAGTCCAGGAGCCACTGGAGGGGTGTGTGTGTGTGTTTTTGTGTGTGTGTTTTACTGGGTGGTGTGGCAAGGTGGGGCAAAGGGGCTGTGAATCACACAAACCGATTATACTCGTCAGAAAGACAGGGATGAAGCAAAAAGGAGGGTTTTTTTATTATTGTTTTTTTTTTTAATTATTAAACGCCTGTACTGAAAGGCGAAGTTAATGTTAATTGGAAAGGCGTTCCCTGCGGAGCCACCACTGAGAATGCTTGCCAGCCTAAACAATTGGTGTAGCGTGTGGGATAGTGTGGGATGACTCAACCGTCCCACACACTACACCAGAACACAGGCAGAGTTCCGACTCCAGTCCTCTGAAGATGCCGGTGTGTGTGTTTTACTGGGCGGTGTGGCAAGGTGGGGCAAAGGGGCTGTGAATCACACAAACCGATTATACTCGTCAGAAAGACAGGGATGAAGCAAAAAGGAGGGTTTTTTTATTATTGTTTTTTTTTTTAATTATTAAACGCCTGTACTGAAAGGCGAAGTTAATGTTAATTGGAAAGGCGTTCCCTGCGGAGCCACCACTGAGAATGCTTGCCAGCCTAAACAATTGGTGTAGCGTGTGGGATAGTGTGGGATGACTCAACCGTCCCACACACTACACCAGAACACAGGCAGAGTTCCGACTCCAGTCCTCTGAAGATGCCGGCCACAGAGACGGGTGAAACATCAGGAACAAAAACCTTAGGAACACGGCCAAAGAGCCCGAAAAACCTACAACAACCATCAGATCCCGGCTGTGAACGCCTTTGAGAATATATATGTGCTCTCTTAAGATCCCCAGGAGGTTGGACTCTGGCTACCATCAGATCCCGGCCGTGAACGCCTTTGAGAATATATATGTGCCCTCTTAAGATCCCCAGGAGGTTGGACTCTGCACAGTACCAGATTTAGACTGCACTGGGCCGCAACCATTCAGCGGAATTCCTCCCAGAAAACTGAGCCTACAGCCTGAAACCTGGCATTTGAGCAAGAATTTGCTCCAAGTTTTTTTTCTCCTGCCTTTCCTCTCAAAGGGAATAAACTGGGAACACATATACCAGTTTCGGAGACGCGGAGATCCTGCGATTTCTGTGGATGACTCTTTTGACAATGTCTTTTTTTCAAGCATGGATCCCTTTCCAGTCACTCTGCTCTCAGATCATCCTGCCTCTGAACTCTGAACCGTCGGGAGACCCCCCTCCGCGCCAAAGCTCCCGACGGCCCCAACCGCCCATCTGTTTACCTTGCCTGCGTTTCCGGAGACGGGACGCTCGCCGGTGGTTCATGATGCAAGCCGCCATGGTGCTGAAGATGACGGCGGTGCTGAGGAAACAGACGCCTCCGATCACGCCAGCCAGCACAGGCTGTGGAAGCAGCTCCGGGAGCTGGGTTCGAGACGGGTACACTTCCATGCCTGATGGGAAGAGTGGGGTGGATTGGAAAAGAAGGGACCCCGGTGGAGTGGCTACAATGTTGGGCCAAGATATGGGACAGTCTGGTCCTCCACTGAATCATGGAACTCCCAAGGTTTCAGACTCCACAAGAACCCTGGTTATGTGGAATTCAGGGCTACTGCCCGCCCACCCCGCTTCCATCTTTGGGCCTTACCTGTCGTGGAAACATTGACTACGTTGCTGGGGTCACTGATGTAACTGCCCGCAAAGGCCACCAGGCGGAACTCATAGAAGGCATCCTGTATGGGAAGGGGTGGAGGAGAAAGCAGAGGGACGTTAGGGCAACCCTCTACCGACACCGCCGTCTTCCCCACCGTTGGTGTAACGGCACACTTGCAGGCATCTCTGCTCTCACAAACTTGAGAAGCATCGTTTTGAGTACAGTGGTGCCTCGCTTAACGAGCGCACCGTATAATGACAAATCCGCATAACGATCCCTTTTTCGCGATCGCTAATGCAGAGGCATAGCGTTGGCCCCAATGGGCAAAACTCGCATAGCGAAGGTCGGTAAGCATTTCGCTTACCGATCTTCGCTTTGCGACGCCTGCAGATCAGCTGTTCGGCGGTTTCAAAATGGCTGCCGGATGCCCAAAATGGCCACGCGCAGCGTTTTCGTGCTCTCCCCTCGCTTACCGAGGGTGCGAAAATGGCTGCCGGACCCTGGAAACTTCGCTAAACGGTGAGTTTTGTGCCCAATGGGCTTCCCCGTTCCATTTAGCGAAGTTTTCACATAGCGAAGGTTAATCCGGAACGGATTAACCTCGCTAAGCGGGGCACCACTGTAATTAGGAGATGCCCCTAACCACACTAAGAAAATCGGTCTGTTACGACGTTCATGGTGGTGGTTGCATTCTACGAAGTCTTGGAAGTTGTAGTTTGGTGGGAGGGCTGAAAAACGTCCTTGCTGTAGTTCAGAGTAGGGCACCAGAGTTTCCTGGCAGAAAGTTCCAAGTCTCTTGCAAAAAACGCATTCAGACAGGATGGCACCATGCCAGTTAGGTAAAAGTTCCCCTTGATGTTTAGTCCAGTTGTCTCCGACTCTAGGACGCGGTGCTCATCCCCGTTTCCAAGCTATAGAGCTGGCATTTGTCTGAAGACCCTTCCCGTGTTCACGTGGCCAGCGTGACTAGACACAGAACGCTGTTACCTTCCCACCAAGGTGATACCTATTTATCTACTTGCATTTACATGCTTTCGAACGGCTAGGTTGGCAGGAGCTGGGACAAGCGACGGGCGCTCACTCCGTCGCGTGGATTCGATCTCACGACGGCTGGTCTTCCCACCTTGCAGCCCAGAGGCTTCTGCGGTTTAACCTGCAGTGCCAGTTAAGGCGGCATCAAACTGCACCTTACAGAAACACACATTCTTCTAATTTCGGGTATCATGCTTGGAAAATGTGATTGTACATCCCGATATGTGTACACACACCCGTGTGTTAAGATGGGAAGGGCTGGAATGTGATATTTGCACAGGGAAGCATTCTGCCTGGCATCAGCCTGATAGCTAGATCAATTAGGAGTCTCTCACACAGAATCATGGAATCACAAAATAATTGAGTTGGAAGGGGGGCCCATAAGGTCATCGAGTCCACCCCCCCCTGCTCAAGGCATGAATCTAAGTCAAAACAGATCTGACAGATGCCGGTCCAATTTCCTCTTGAACGCCTCCAGCGTTGGGACGCTCACCACCTTCCGAGTTCATTGGTTCCATTGTCATACTGCTCTAACAGTTAGGAAGTTTTTCCTCCTATTCAGCGTAAATCTGGCTCCCTGTGTTTTGAGGCCATTAATACCTATCCTGCGCTTTGGGATGGTTCAAGAACAGATCCTATCCTTCCTCTGTATTTGAAAAGTATTATCAAATCTCCCCTCAGTCTTCTTTTCTCAAGGCTAAACATACCCAGTTCCTTCAGTTTTTCCTCACAGGGCTCGGTTTCCAACGCCCTCATCATCCTTGTCACCCTCCTCTGAACTTGTTCCAATTTGTTAGCATCCTTCTTGAACTGCAGTGTCCAGAATTAGACACAGCACTCTAGAGGAGACCTAACCAGTGCTGAATAGAGGGGAACTAGTACCTCGCAGAATTAGTCCCTCTCTTAATCGATTCTAAAAATAAAGAGTCAAATATGTGATAGGATATAATTTTTGTCACATAGGGATGATAGCTTTAGCTGTTAAATTAGAGTAACTACGTCTGTCAAGTTTAAGGATGAAATACTAACATAACTAAGTCAAGTACAAGTTCATATATAAAACAAGAAATGGCCAAAGCATTATAACTTTGTTCTATTCTTACGTGTGTTTAAACAGTAAAACTTCTTTAATGTTTTTAACAAAGACCAAGTGATGACTTTATTTACTTTCAACGGCTGGAACGTGAACACACAAAGGAAAATACCAATTTTTATTCTCTCTCTCTGTGTGTATGTGTGTGTTTTATCCTAAGTCTTGAAATTCCTGTGTGGAAACTCTGTGAGTTACATTTTATACAGTGGTGCCCCGCATAGCGATATTAATCGGTTCCAGGATTAACGTCGCTATGTGGATTTGTCGCTATACGGGGGGGGAACCCCATAGGAACGCATTAAAACGGGGATAAATGCGTTCCTATTGGGGCGAAAACTCACCGCTATGCGGGGAATCCTTGATCCGGCCGCCATTTTCACTGCCCGGTAAGCAAGGGCAGGGCACGAAAACGCTGCAGGTGGCCATTTTGCAGATGTGGTGGCCATTTTGGAACCACCGATCAGCTGTTTAAAAAACATCGCAATGCGAAGATTGGTAAGCGAAACGCTTACCGATCATCGCAATGCGATGTTTTCCCTATTAAAACATTGCAATGCGATCGCAAAAAACGCGTCGCTATGCGAATTCGTCATTAAACGGTGTGCTCGTTAAGTGAAGCACCACTGTATTTTTAAAAAACCAAAGCAATGATCATGAAAGGAGCCAGACATTGCCACCGAAGCCAACCTGGGCTGTACATCATACATCCCCTCCCTATGAACTAAGTTCCAAAGTGTCAAATTTTTGTTCATTGCCGGATCCCTTTCCAACTCACCTTAATTAGGCCAGGCACCAGGAGTTGAGTTTCAGAACTGGGGATGGACCCATCGAGTACCTCCCAGCCCCCCTGGTCCAGCCGCAGCTCCAGCGCGTAGCCGGTCAGAGCCACAGAGTAATGGAAAGGTGGTTCCCAGAGGAGCAGAACCCCCCGCGTGGTCTCGTTGGCCATCAGAGATTGAGGAGGGGACAGAAAGATCTGTGAGGGAGTCCCCGGGGAAGTGGGCGGCGGCATGGTGCTCATTGGATAACCTGAAAAGCAAACAGTAACAGTAACAGTAACAGTAACA